TTTTTTCTTTTCTTTTTTTTGTTCGGTTGAAGGTTCAAATTATCTGATTTCAATTGTTTCAAGGGAAACACTCTGAATGCAATATTCACAATGGATGACAATTTTGAGTCATTTTTTGTCACTCATTTTATGCTCATGATAGTCTTTTCTCTTGTATTACTTTTTTTCTCTTCGCTCTCACTTTCTCTCAAAATTCAGTGAATAATATTCTGGTTAACAATACTGAAGATTATATTTTCTTACATGATTAATGGTCTGTTTAATGAAAAACACTTTCTTCAAGTCAACTCAAGTATTGTTACAACATTTAAACTGTGTGTTTCAGCCTTTTTTATCTTAAGCTTTCTACATGTGAACATGTCAACCTTTAACTAAACTTTTATCGATATAATTATCATTATTGAGAAAACATTTTGACATGTTGTTCATGTTGATGAATTTAGTTTAAGGTATTCGCTCATGCCCATTCCACTGGCATTATCTTGGAAACATTTTCAAATCGAATATTCAAAAACAAATTTCTCCAAATATCATTGTTCGCTAGTTCTTAACTTGTAGCTAAAAACAAGTTAAATTGACTTTTAACACTTTTCAGCAGCTATAAAAGTCTAACTCTTAGTTTACGTGTTTTAGTCCTGTGGCTATGACTGAATCTGTACCTAGAGGTCTCATGTTCAAGTCTGTTAGTATAAGGTGTTGACAGTACCACCAAAGGTGTTTTTATTTCTTGTACAAAGCATAAGATTGAATGACTTTATGACCGAGCTTTTCCGACCTGACGTTATCTCGAGGCAAAAAAGGGACATTTGAAGTGATTTTATCCGAAAAGTTCAGAGAAAAATTTTAAGATTTTTTAAGCTTTGCGCAAATTGCAGATAACGTCTGTTTAGAAATGAAAAGATTCTGTGAAAGATGCTGCTTCGCTGAGGATATTTCTGCTGAATTTTTTTTTAAACATTAATACTTTGGTTTTATTCTTGAAGATGAATTTAATCTGGATAAATCTTTTGAAATGTTGTTTGGAACTTCTCACCCTGATGAGAAAACATTTGAAATAATCCCAATCAAAACGATTGCTTGCAAGTTGAACAACATTTACTTCAATAAAATGGAAAATAAATATTCAATTTGAGATTTGGTCAGTTGATTCGATCGCCTTAATCAAGATAAATTGTTGAAATGCAATGCTCAAAAGTGGCCAATTTATGTTAAAATAATTCATAGAAAATCTTTTGAATTATAAATGATAAAAAGTAGCATCAAGATTATTCCCAAGTTGATAAATATAAATAAATCAAACATTAAATTTTTTTCCATTGAATAATTTTCTACTTCAAAATTTGGGCAAAAAAAGAAAGAGAAAATTAAAACAAATAAAATCATTTAATCGATAATGAATAATATCACAAAACATTATTCAACATTTGCCAACACAAATGTAATATTAATTCAAAAGTGTTTTCACATCAAAATCACAATACAAAATAGATCGACAAACTTCGTCCAACAAACAATGGAAATTTTCCATTTTTTTCATTCTCGATGATTGAGCGATTTCCAATGATAATTGAAACATTCAATTCTGACAAATTTTCCAATCTTTAGAACATTTCATTGAAATTTCGTCATGAAAAAATCACTGAAAAAAAGATTCCATAGCAATCGATTAGTAGATGATTTAATAGAATTTCATTTTTTCAGCTGCAATGAAATTTCGCAAAACAGTTTCGAATCAATTTCGAAGTCGATTGTTGAACATGTCTATGCAATTAAATCGACAGTTTATTGTTTCTCATGATTGAATTGTTACATTTGCTTGGTTAGCATTTTCATGTTCAACATGAATTATCTGAAGATGACTTGAAACGACAATATTTCTAATTCGTTCAACTTTTTTATCACTTTCTTAATCTCTTTCTTTCTCGCTAACGATTATTAAAATAATAAGATCAGGAAACAGAATCAGCAGAAACATATTTAACCATGAAAAGGTTTATTGAAGCGAAATTTGGAACTAAAGTGAAATTTGTTCTTCTTCTCAAGATTTCAATGTTGATTAATCTGACTTGAACACACAGTTGACCTTAGAAGGTAAATGAAGCAACCACATGAATGACTTCATCTTGGTTCATTGAAATAAAAAGTAAATTTGTCCAGATATTTACACTTGAATTGAAGTTGAACCAAATGAAACTTTTTTGTTGTCCAAAAATATCAAAACTTGATCATCATCAAGAGCAAGATAACTCATAAAACTAACATAATACTGGAAAAGCCAAAGTAAAGAGGAAAGCTTTTGAGGAAAAAAAGTCATTGAAAAGTCCAACATTTATTTACCTTTAGGTGTTAACCTTTTAAACCTTAAATATTTACCTCAATAGCTTGAGGCCGATTGTATGATTAAAGTTTCAATTAACATTCAATAAATATTTAAACTTTTTTTTTCTGTCCAATTCATGAAGAGAAAGAAAGAAAAATTTGAAAACAAATAAATTTCAAGCAAAGAGTAAAAATTTTAAAATCAAACTCTTCTCACTTGAGAATCGGCTTGGGAATGATAATTTTCACTCCCAGGTTGAATCATTAATTTGAACTGAAAAAAGAAGAAAAGAATACATTTTTTCTGACAAAATTACATTGATAATCATTATTGATTACAGGGTTAATAAAATGTATCTTTTTACGTTTCCTTGTTATTTCCTGTTCACTTGATCATTGAATCAGAATATGAAAATAAATCAAATGCTTTGACCAAACTGATATTAATCAGACCGCAGAGAATGTGAATTAATCAGACTATTCAGAACTTTTCACATTCAGTTTCAGAACTTTCAGCAATACAGGGTGATTCGATCAACTTTTATCAGAAAAATTCGATGCATTTGTAAGGTCGAACAAGAACATTTCGAAAAAAATTATAGCTCAAAATCTGTAAGAATCCTGTCTGATCAGCAAAGAGCGATTCAATCAACTTCATCAGAGTAATCCGTGAAAATATTCTGACTCGTCTGGAAATCGAATAAAAAAATTTCGAAAAAATTCGAGAAATCTGAATACAAAAGTTCGATGATAGGAATTTTAGTTTTGCCAACTTTTAGTTCAAAGAACTCGAGTTTGCAAAATGTTGAAATCGCATTTCGCATTGAAAAGTTGATGAACTTTGTTGAGATTGATAAACGCAAATGTGTGCCAAACTCATTGAGAACGAACTGGATTCATGATTGAATAATCTCATCACGTTCGTCAAATATTTTCCCACTGTTATCGCTATTCAACTGCTGGGAGTGAACATTCGTTTATGTTATCAGCCTTTTGTTACTGGGAGTTGAATAATTATCAGAGGCCATTATTATTAGTTTAATGTGATAATTATATTTGGAAGCTCATTTAATCATAATGATAATTTCTGTTAAGTTCAATAAAATTCTGTTGGGATTGAATATTTTTTTCTTTTTTCTTTTTTTACGATTTTTCCATTTAAATTTTATTTCCTCTCTATTATCATGTTAATTATATTTTTCATTGTTTGTAATCATTACGTTAATTAGATTGAACTCCCGCTTCTGATTAAATTCATTATTAGATATCAGAATGGCTTGGAGTGAACTTTGCTTTTCCACTTTTTAGGCCAACTCATTATACCAACATGGGAATAATGCCAATGTAATTATAGTCTGTTTACAATAGTTGATAATTTCAACATTCAGTTCATCACATTGTCCAACTTGAAATGAACTTTTCATCAAATTCCATTGCGATTTCCTTTTAGTTTTGAAAAAATTGGACTTTTCATGAAATGCTTAGAAAGTTCATTTTTTCAACTTCAATTCCGTTATCTCATGAATGGAAGCCTTTTGAATATTCTCAATAACTGCTGATAATTCAAGTTCAATCTTGCGAGTAACTTTGAAGCGCGATTATTAAGAGTTTAAAAGTTGCTCAGAATTATGATTGATTGAAACGAAATCAGGAAAAGAAGAAAAATTTGGAAAGAAAACATGAGAGAATTGTTTTCTTTCATGAACATCATCAACTGATCAGAATGACTCTATTTTGCTGTTATTTATTCGCTGATACAGTTTCTATTTTGGGTGAAAAGTTGATGGAACTAGTTGAGAATAAATGTTTGAAATAATACTTGGAATGTTCACTTTTCTATCAACGAAAATGGATAAGTTTCCATCTTGAGCTAAATAAAGATATCCAATGTGTACTTGAAGTTGAATGATAATGATACTTTTGAGAAGAAAATTTCATCCTTCATTCTGAATGGTTGAATTGGAAACAAGAAAAAAGTAGAAATGTTTCCATTCTCAAACAATATGATTACAATTATTTTTTCAACTTTTCCAGTTTCAACAAAAGTTCGCTATAAAACTTCTTTACTGGGAGTGAAAACTTATCATTATCTCAATTTTTGCCATTTCCAGCGTTTTATTACCTAACAAGTTGAGCGATGACTTATTATCATCATTATTGTTGTATCATTTTTGAACTTTATCTGCACTTTCTTCTTCTCTCTCTCTTTGCACTCTATGCTGGGAGTGTGAGTAAAATGATAAAAATTTGTAGCCTTCATTCATCGCCTCCCTGTTTGTGTATTCATTGTGTTTACAAGTGAAGAAAAAATAATATTTATTATCAACAAGAAAATGTTTTCTTGTACATTATTACAATGGTGAAAGAAGATGATGATAAAGTTCACCAGATGAAACAAGAGTTATCAATTACACGGAATGAATATCAGATAACAGAATGTTGTTGTTGATGATATCATTTGCTTTTCTTTTCAGGAATTAGTAACTCATTCGCCTTTTCCCCTTTAATCATGTTCGCATTCAATTACACTTGGTAACAATCAAAGTTTTGTGTAGCTCATGTTGCTCTTCAGTCCATGATATTTGTTCAGCTTTATTTGAGTTTAAGATTTTCCATTGAGTAAAGAATGGTAAAAAAACCATCAATTTTCTCATCACTTTTTTCTGTTTGCTCTGTTTCAGGATACGGAAATATTGGACCAAGAACTATGGAAGGGAAAATGTTGACAATTTTATATGCACTTTTGGGTATTCCATTGATGATTCTGTTTCTATCCAAGATGGGCTCAATGTTGGCCAATGGGTTGAGATACTTTTACCGTAGTTGTTGCAGTTGCCTGCCCAGTCCAAGTGCATCAACACTACCCAACTCAGGGACACTTGATGTCCTTGATCCTGTCCATTTATCCTCCTCAAGTGGACTCTTATCTCACCATGCTCATCACTCGCACCATCATTTACATGATCATTATCATGTTCATCATATATCATTGAATGATATTCACAATAACACAACCGGTCATGTAGCCCTTCACTGCAACTCTACCTCACCCAACACCACTGGTACCTTAGGTATAGTCTGCAAGGGAACCCCGGGTACGACTACTTGCTACGGTGGATCAGGCACTTGTAATGCCATTACAGTGTCTGGTTCAGGTGGTGGTGGAGGTGGAGTGGCTCTGTCACCGACCGTCGTCTCGATGGGTAACTCGGTTGGTCCGCTGGGTGGAACCTTGGGTGACTCGGAGACCAAAATATGCCCTGAAACAGAAGTGCCTGAACATTATACAACCTGTGGTGGACTGTTACTTAACCGTCATTCCCATGCAACCATACTTCGTGGTGATACCCTTCATCATCACGGTGATCATATCAATGCGACTCTTGCTACATGCCAAGGTGATCATAGTGATTATCGATACCAAGAAACGAATCATCATCATCCAGGTTCATCTCCCTGTAATCATCTAATTAACCTTACAAGCGCCACCAACAATAGTAATCCAACCAGTAAAACAAATGATAATCAGATGAACAATAAAATGTGTGATAATAATTACAATTCAAATTATTATCCCAAAACCGTCCCAATAACGTTGTGTTGTATTATAATAGCAGTTTACATTTTTGCTGGAGCTTCAGTGTTTTACCTTTGGGAAGGTTGGAGCTATTGGGAGTCAGTTTATTTTTGCTTTGCCTCAATATCGACCATCGGCTTGGGCCAGGCAACCTGGGTTTTAAGTGATTTCAGAAATTCCGAGAAAAAGTTGATTCTTTGCTGTTTATATATTTTATTTGGTCTATCCCTTGGTGCCATGGTTTTCAACCTTTATCAAGATCACTTGAGGCGTAAACTGTCAAACTCAAAGTGCGCTAAACGTCATTCAACCGAATGTCCACATCATCTGACAGAACGTGAACTGTTGACTGCAACACCAGCACCCAACAACCCGTTACTGGGTGAAGATGATTTCGACGTTTGACTATTGGAACCACAAGAGTGAGATAATCAAATGAATGGTAATCTCAAAGTGCTGTTATTAAGATCAAGGTTTACAATCTACTAACCTGATGATGAAAGTTGAAATAATTATTTTTGTTGTAAATTGAAAATGAACGCGTAAAAGAGTCAACTTTTGTTTCATCATGTCAAGTGCTCAAGTTCAACATGTTGGGAAAAAGACACTAACCAGACTCATGGTTTGACCAAATCTTCAAATGTCATCATGATGAGCCAAAAATGGTTTGGCAAAGAAAATGAAAAAAAGAAAAAAAAGAAGACGAAAAAATGATAATGTAATTTTAATGCAATTATCATTGGAATCTTTCGATTCACAATGGTTAACCCGAGAAAACATTGAACATTCGTTGAACCCAATTGTTATATTACACTTTGATATATTACCTTTATTGATAATAGTGGCCTCAAGTGTGAGGTTAAATTTGAGCAAACAAATTCCCAATGTAAAGGAGGAAATAATGATTAAAGTGGGACAAACAAGGAAAATAAAGGAATGAGAAAAGGAGCAAAAATTGTATTCCATATTGAGTATACTATTAGTTAATTCAATTGAATAAAAAGTGTTTACCAGATAAGAAATGATTATTTTATTTATTTCATTGAATCGATTGTATTATTAGAAAGCATTTGCCATTATTGTTTCTCTTTCGCGTTGATGATGATAAACGTTGCTTGGATTGACGTTTGACTCAAATGATTGTTTGAAGAAAAATTTGCGCCAACAAAAGTTTACAAATTTTCTTGGCTTTTCTCGCCATTTCAGGGTTAATTTAACAGACGGTTAAATAATGTTAACAATTTAAATGGTCCAGAACCATTGGCCATTTTATCCTCATTTTAATCATAACATCTTGGCCTTTTCAGAAGAAAGAAAAGGATGAGTTGAAGAAAAAGGAAAAAATAAATTCATTGAAATTAAAGAATAGTGATAAAATTGTTTCAAAGTATCAATTGACTGTTAAAAGTTCAATCTGGGACTAATGAAAATGATTGATTAAGCGAACATTTTGTCTACAAAAGTTGCAAAAAATCTAAAATTCAAAAGAACAAAGAAAATTCAGAAAACAAATGATTTTCGCGACTAGGTTGTTGCTTAATGGCGGTTATATGTAAGTATCGATTTAATAGCCATTTAATATCAAATCAAAAACGCTATAACTTTTGTTTGCATGATCTTGAATGATCTAATGTAGCCAATTGTAGAGTTTGAAGATAGCTAAAGAATGATGGTTTTGGATGCTAACAAGACCTTTAGGTCAAAGGCCAAAATGAAAAGAAATATCGATGCATTGAAAAAGTGTTCGACATCGTGAGTTCATTTAAAGTAAGTGAACGTTTCTGTAAGTGGTTGATCTTTACTGGAGTCAACAGATACGTTCACTTAACAGTTTATTAGCAGACAAATGTAGCAAACTCATTATCAGAAAATCATTGGTTGAGGAGTGCATCTCAGAAATAACAGATTCATTATAATTCGAAAAACTGAATTGAACGAGCCACAGAGTCAGTGCACTCAGGTTTTCCATCTGGATCAGTTGAGTATTCATTGACTACTTCTTTACTCAACGAAAAAGCAGTTCAATTTGGATGGGAAATTGAAATTGAAAGGCTCAACTTTGCAGCTGAGTTGAAAGTATTTTTACAGTAAAAACTTTTCCATGAAAAATCAATCAACTTGAAAATGAACTTTTGTCACAAATTGCAAAGGAAAAGTAAAGAAAGAACAAATTGAGCGAAAAAAAGGTAAAGAATTTAAATTTTTCTCCTCAATTTTTATAGTCGAGTTGATAATGTTTGTTTTATTTTAAGATGAATGAAAGAAAAGATGAAGATGAAGAAAAGGATAAAAGTGAAACTTAAAAGTCAACGATAGTCTCATTCATCCTCATCTTTCCTCTCACTTTTCTTCTTCTCTTGCCAAATGATGCCAAGAATGAGACAAAAAAACAAGGAAGACGCGAAACAAGATGAAAAAGTCTTAATTTCGTTAACTCTCTCTTTCGATTCACTTCTATTCTCAACATCACTAATTGTTTCCCAGTTTTAATCATCATTTTACACTCATCTTTAGACTGCAAATTTCCCTGTTTCCACACTTTCCGTTTCCTCTGAATTTCACCAGAAAATCTTATTTTCTCCCAATAACCTTACAATCAATCAAATTTTACTTCAACCTTTAGTGAAATCGAAACAAAACTAAATAAATTTCATCAACATCGAAAAGGGAAAAAAATCTTTTTTTCCTCATTATTGTCTTATTTATCTTGTATTATGTTCACCCAGTTTGAGCTTTGTTATTATTTGCTCACATTTACTCATCTATCTTGTTATTCAATCATCATCATCATTATCATAAACACATTGTCAACTTGATTCATTTATTTTCATTTTTCTGTTGCTTCCAATTTTTCACTTTCAACAATTTTCCTTCCCTTCAAAGTTGATCAATTAATGTTCATCTTGTTCATTACAAGTTACAAGCGTTTACAGTTTCACTCAAAGAAGATTCAAATTCAATCATTCAATGGGCTGATAAAGGTAAGAAAACATTTTCGCCTTTTCACCTTTTCTCTTTAGTCACCTTTAATTGATGTATTTGTCGACTTTGTTAGGCTCTGTGCTTGTTCCCAGACTTTGTTTTATGGCTTATGATAGGAGAACATCTAAACGTAAAAGTGGCCGTCATCATCATCGCTCTCGAAAATTGGACACTAGCATCTCTCATCGACCTCGGTCAAGTGGTGAAAAATGTAAAGATTATTGTCGCAAGTTTGTTGCATTCCTGTTTAGCCATATCGGTATTAGTGCCATTGTTGTTGCCTACATGATTGGCGGTGCTCTGCTCTTTCAACGGCTTGAAGGTGAGGCCAGCAATGATATCAACATCTCGGTTGGTGAGATGATCATTGATTCGGTTGATCAAATGTGGATCATTACCAATGAGATTAACATTCTTAATAAGCAAGCCTGGGACCAAATAATGCGTAACGAGACCAATTCATTTGCCATTAATCTGATTAAACAGATTCAAAGTGGATTTGATAATAAACCTCGAAATAATAAATGGGAATTTCCAGGAGCATTCCTATTCTGTTTAACTGTCATCACAACCATTGGTAAGTTTCATATTATACTCCATGGGTTTCATATCACAAATTGATAACATGATGCTATTCATGTCATATCTTCAAAAGCAAGTCAACTGTCAACCATTGATCAAATGATAAGCAAATGCATTACAATGGTAGAAACAAAACTCTTACTTGCGAAATGTTTCATCAACAAAAAAAAACAAAACACATTTCCGATTGAATCTGCATTTTCCAAGATCAACAGATAATTCAGTAAAATTTGAGTAATTTGGCTGGTGTAAAGTTTTCACCAACAATCAGATTAGTTTGCATTATCATGATATTTGTTTTCAACTGGAAACAATATGATTTGTTTAGCTGGTTAAAATTGGTTTTTAATCCAAATACTTCTCTATTTTTAAGCTCAAAACAGTCTTTTCGGCTTAAAGACTAACAAAAAGTCTGTTGAATTGAAGTATTCAAAAGATGAAAAGATATCATTCGGTTATTCTATTTAACAATAAGTTAAGATAAACGATGATACTTCCATGTGAATGCATTTCGATTGCGTGGAAAAATGTTTTAGACAAAGTTAGACACATTAGGTGATCATTCAATTACAGTTTAACTCGACTTGTTATTACCTTCTATGGCCATTTTCATTTCAAGGCGAAGTGTAGATTTTAGTTCGATTCTTAGACCCTCGTTGGTCCTAGCCCTTATCATTATACTCATTGAAACCGATGCTTAGCTGCCGATGTATTTTGACATCAATAAATTTTTTGGATTAACTCGTTGGAAATCTTTTCTATTCTATAAGGTCAAAAGTTTGATTTCTCGTTATTTTCATTGAGCAGTTGATACTTTGAATATTCAAGTAGCTGAAAAATTGGTTCTCGAACACTTATTTCGAAATCAGGTTTACGGTTGAAATTGGACAAACGAAATTCTGTCCAAGTGTATCATTAACAGCTAATTACTTTATTGCCATAACCTTTCACCGGCTCAATCACACACAACAAACATCATCATTTTATTTGTTAACATTTTTACGGGTTTCTTTCAACTCATCTTTCTCTAAATCATGAAAGCAAATGAACTAAAGAATCACTAAAGAAATATCCGATATCAAATCAAACGACTTTTATCGATAAAATGCAAGTACTCATAAGGTCTTGATCCTTGCCTCGTTCATTTGAACCTTACAATGCTGAAAAACCTTTGAATATCTCTTCAAACTGACATCCAATCTTTCTCAATTAGCTGATTATCAAACTCAATTTTGGAAACTTTTGTATTTAGACATTGATTTGAAGAAAAATGAACATTTTGTCAAAAACTTTCGATACTTTTAATGAGTAGAGAAGCAGTTTTGCATCTAAATTATCATTTGACACAAAACTCGTGAATCACTTGATAAGAGCCTTATTCAGTTACCTTGATTGTTCAATGAAATGAAATTTTCCTCTAATCACTTGTCACATTGTTTTTAATCATTTTAACTCATTTAAAAACTGATCCGTTTTTTCATCCAACTTGGACTGAACTAATCTCTACCTTTTCTCATTTAAAAAACTGAGTTGACATCCAATTTTGAATGCAAAATTTGCATTTACATCAATTTTTTAAAGATTAATTATCTAATGCTAATTGAGTACACATTTTGAGCTTTGATTATTTATCAATCAAATTAAAAGGTTCACCAGAAGAAGAAGATGAAAATGAAAAGCCAGCAACAACCAAAGATAATTATGTTAATGGTGATTCCAACAATAACCATAATGGTAACAATAATAATACTAATAACGATAATAATGATTATGCATCAATTTCCAAAGTTAATCAGATTATTCAGTAAATGGAAAGATAATTGCAATTCTTCTCAGTCCATCAACTTTGATTATCGATTGATGAATATTTTTGCTTCTTTAATTATTCAAATTAATTTGATGTCATCAATTTCAAGTCAATCAGTTGAAATCGGTTGACAAACAGAGACAAAATTGCTTCATTTGAAATGGAAATTTTTGTTTTGGCGAAGAAAAAAAATGTTGAGCAAAAAAAAAATTGAATCCAGTTGAATGGCTGAGTTTATATTACAGATTAAATGTTAATGTTGCCAGAATTGCCAACAATGTTGAAAGTTATATATTAGTTACTGGTTGGAATGTGACTAAAATGTTTAAGCAACATTGAGATTGAAATTAATATGAATGAAATTACATGGAAAAAGTGAAGCAACAAGAAATGATGAAAAGATGAAAATCTGAACATTTATTCCAATTATGATTATCATCAAACTTGTTACCAACACAATTAGCTGTGAAAAAAGGGAAAAATTGAAGACAATATTGTCTAATAATATAAATACAAAGTGACTTTTTTTTGACATTTCAAATGTACTTTTCAATCAAATGCAAATAAACTTGAACAAATTGTTTAATTTAAAAGTCAACTTACAAAACAATTTTCACTCAAATTCATCCAAAATCAAAATCCATTTGATAACCATTTTAATTGATCATTTTAAATCAACTTCAAACCTTTGATCAGTGAATAGCAATTCATTTACAAGAGTGAAAAATCTTGAAGCCTAACCTAACCCAACCTAACCTGCAACACATCTTGAAAGGTTTCAAGTTAGACTCAAGAGACGAGCTTCCTTGCTCTTGACTAAACCTAACCTAACCCAACCTAACCTAATCTTAATGGCCATTCAAGATCATTTATTGATGATTTAAACGTGTAAACAGACTAATGACAAAACATTGTCTTGATCAAATGCCACTGTTGAAAAAAACTATTTAAAATGGGAATCTTTTTTTTTCTTGTATTATATCACTGAAACCGTTGATTGGAAAGGCAAGGAAACAGATTTTGTCTCTTTTTTTCTGGCCAATTTCCAACACAGAGAGAGAAACTGTGTTGGCAATCATTAAACTTGGATTACCATGTACATCATATAACATGGGTTGAAGTGAACATGAAACGATAAAGAATAGTTGAGTTCATCAGTGTGTCAGTAATTATCTTACTTTTTTTCACTGTGCATATCTCATCCAATCATCCTGATTATGTCTTTACAATCTCAACAATCTCTTACCATTCTTGCTTCTTCTACTTCTTAATAAACTTGTTCATTCTCATCATCGCCCCTGTCTATCTTCAATATTATCATTAACCTCATCATTATCTTCATCTTCTTATTTTTCTGCTTGGTCTCATTACCAAAAACAATATCATTGGCAAAGTTAAATTGATATTAGTTCCAAATGAATGATAAAAACATGTAAATTGTTGTCGACTGTTGAAATACTCACAAACTTTACAGAGTTCAATGGAGAATCCAATTTAAACTCAAGTGATGAAAACTATTATTAACATAATGAACATTTATTATTCATCGTTATTCAAGATTTATCCGTTTAAAATGCAATTTAAACAAAAGCTAAATGTTCATCAGGATTAGAGCAAAATCAAGTGTTTTACTTTGTGTTTAAACGCAAAAATATTTTTCAAGTTCAATCAATTTCTTATTAAAATAATAATGCAAAATAAACTGATGAGTCTTTTCAAACAAAACCAAAGATGAAAGGTTAAAATGATGAGAATTCAACTTTGATTCACATTTTCGAACGGAGAACGTTTTTACTGCAAAGTTACAACTTTTGAAATAAACTTTTGTCATTTCCTTTTGTTTTTCAAATCTTTAAGTCTTCCTAACCTAACTCAACCTAATCTAACTTGACCTAACCTGATCTCACCGGTTTCACATCATAATTAGGAATTTTCCAATACTATTCTTCTCACACAAAAATTGATCGATCTCACCCAGAGAAAATCGATCTTAAAAACACGCGTTTGCTGCGCCAAGAGACCATTTTGTAGATTCGATGATACTTTTTTGTTTTAAAAATCAAGAAATCAAATGTTTAATGCAAGATGGACTGTTGATCAAACTTGAGTTGGCTTGGTTAAAACTGAAATCTGTTTTAATTATTGACTTTATCTTTACAGGTTATGGGCACATTGCACCGATAACGGCTGAAGGACGAGCAGCGACCATTGTCTATGCCATTTTTGGTATTCCCTTAATGTTGCTCTATCTAGCCAATATTGGTGGCACATTGGCCAAGTCTTTTCGATATGTTTACGGTAAATTTCAATCTTGCTGTTCATACAAGCAAGCCAGTCGAGGCAGGTCAGCTCGATCCCGGTCAAGACGAACAGCTCAGGGAACAGTTAGACGAAGTGTTACCGGTAAAACTTCATCCATTGAAATGAGTCCACTAAGTCTAGGTCCGACAACCTCAACACCAACAGCAACCAGTATTTGGTCGACAATGGTTCACCATGCTCATGGTTCTTCACTGCCCAGTTCACCAGTTTCCAAAGTTACTCGAAGCATTCCTTTTAATCAAACAGATTCAGGGTAAATCTTTCATTCATTTTTTTCTCCTTCTCTTCCCCTCTCTGTCTTCATATACTTTCCCAACTGTCAACTTGCGTTTATCCTCATCATCACTCATCCAAACTTTTTTTTATCAAATTCAATTGTAACTCGATCTTGTCCAATTGTTGTTTCATCTTCAATTTCATATCGTTTATTCACTTCTCCATGATATATGTGAATGAATGAATGAATAATATTTCCTGTTATTGTTCAATACTAATGGTCAACTAATGTCAATCTAATAAACTGGGCAGTCGAAAAAATAGAATGGATCAAAACAAAAATAACATCAAAAGTAAAGAAATAAATATTAAAATATAAAAAAAGAGCAGAAATAATTCGTAATGTTATAATGATAGGAAAACTGTAAAAAGATCAATCATTTTTTTTCTCGTTTTCCCTGCAAAAAAAACGAACAACCTTTCCTGACAAGTTATGAGAAACATTCATCTTGAAATATTCACGAAATGAACCAGAATAATGTTTCATGAAGAGAAGAAGAAGAAAGAAAAACCAAAAATTCAATTTACATTCTTAAATCTAAATTAACCGTTTGAAAACATTAAACTCTATTAGAGTTAATTCAATTTGTTTCATCGTTTTTTTTCTCGTTCATTTTTTTCTTCTTCTCTTCATGAAACATGATCAACATGAACAGCTTTTCAGGTTGATAATTGTGACAGTTTAGTGAAGAGAAAAAAAGTAAACAAAGTTGATGAAATTCCATCGTGTTTTGATTCTGGTTGATTAGTTGAATGTGATTGTTACATGTGAAACAAAGTGAATATAAATATTTCAATATGTTGTTCATCTGAATATATTGGTAAAAAGACTGGGAGTGAAAACTGGATGAAACATGAAAAAACATAACGTTTTGCTGTTGCAGTAATAAATGCTCAACATGAGTATACATCATGGATATGATGAGAAGAGAAGTAACAATAAAGAAAATTCATGTAACTTCTCTGAAAGATTACTGAACATGGAGAAGAGTGGAAAAGAGAAAAATGTATTTATTAGAAAGTAAATGTGAAGAAACTCGTAATTTGCTCAGTGTAAATGTAATAACATGGTAAACATGTCAACTTGTAACTCTATTTTCATTTGAAACTATTAGTTTTACCTTCTTCTAATAAATGGTTGTTTGCAAAATCTTTTTTTTCAACCAAAAATGAAATGTTTATTAGGATTAAATAAACTTTCACTCATCAAAAGAATCCAAAATTGAGATTAAAACTGTTTTAATCAACTTTATCAAATGTTGTTTTCATTTCAAAATAAATCTAATAAAGTCTCATCAACTGTAAACCCACCAATATGACCAGAATTTTGATCAACGTTTTACTTTAAAATTGAATGAATGGTATTACATTAGAATCAACTTTCATCTTCACATTTCTATTATTGATCCAGATTTAATTCATTTCCAACCATTAATGTAAATTAAGCTTTTGTATTCTGTTGGTTTTCATGCTTCCTTTTTGATCCTTTGATAACGATTCTGATTGTTGCCATTAAAACCTAAAAGTACAAAGAAAAAGATATTTGAATCGAATGAAAAATTTGATGATAATCTCGAGAAGTGAATGATTCGCTAATTTTCAGAGTTTAAGTGATTAAGATTTTAAACCTTGTTTAGTCTTACATTGGGTGAAGACATTCAATTCAACTTGATAATGAGATTTCTTGATTGGCCTCTTGAGCATTTATTTTGCATGATATTGATTGATGTTTGTTGTCTCAATAATAATGTTGTTTTTTTTTCTTGTTTGTACAGTTCACGCCATGAGACACCTGAGTTGATCCAATCTGGTTATCGGCTGGGCAAGAGTGTCACTGAGCCAAGTATTGCTGGTGGCATTGACCGTGAACCTTCAACCGTCTTTCGTCGTGATGAACCTTCAGATGGTCGTCGGGTTGTATTGGAGCGAGTCCATGTTCCCATCTCATTGTGCCTCTTTATCTTGATTGCTTATGTTTCAATTGGTGGGATCCTCTTCTCAGGCTGGGAATCGTGGGAAGTCCATGATGGAATCTATTTTTGTTTCATTACTCTATCGACCATTGGCTTTGGTGATCTGGTTCCAGGAGAGAAGTCATTGAAATCTGAGAATATGATTCTATGTGCCTTGTACATTCTAATGGGACTTGCTTTGATTGCCATGTGTTTCAATCTAATGCAGGAAGGTGTTATCCATAAGGTTAAAACATTGGGCATAATTGTTGGTATCATCAAGGATCCAAATTATGAGGAAGATGAAGATGATTACTATTGGGATGGTGAATCTGATGTACAATAAAAGAGAAGAAGAAGGAAAAAGATTAGAGTTACGGTGAAAAGTTAAATTGCAAATTAACCTTTTACGATTAATTGAAATCCATCCTGTTATTGTACCATTGATATAATGCCATCTGGGAATACCATTTGAATCATTGCATATTGAAATGTAAACAAGATTGAGACATTTTTGGTAAGATTATATCAACAGGGAATTGAACATGTAATAATATCGTTGAACAGGAGAAACAGGACAAAGAAGTTGATTTTGATTCACCAATTCTGATAAAGTGAAGAGTGAAAAATATCAAAATGTTGTGTGCTCTTAAATGCAATTCATATGTACTAATGACAAATTCAACCAATTTTTGCTGCTCAATGATATGATATTTTACTTTCTCTCTGATATGAGAAGGAAAAGGACGGAAAAGAAAATGAAAAAATATCAAAATAAATTGCAAAAAGATGATGACAAACACTATTTCTTGCCTTCTTCAACATCTTTGATTATATTTCAGTTTCTCTTTGGGATTCTCTCATGGATAAATTGTTTCTCACTTTTACCATCATTTTCATCATCAGCCTCTTCTTCTTCCTTCTTTCTTTGCTTAAACTCAATTCATGATTCATGCCTTTACTTTGATCACAATTTTCACTCAAATTGACTTGATTTATAGCTTTTTCTTTCTCCTTTTTTTGTATTTTTCTTCTTCATTTTGACTGAGGAAAAAAAACTGAGTAAAAAAATGTTGATAACATGAATTTTACAATAATCCGAATTAGAGTTAATACATTTATATTGATAAGAATCACTTTACATTTGCCTTTTCCTCTTTTTTTATTTCAGATTATTTCCTTTTCTCTATTGTTATAATTTCATTCCTTGTATTCACTCAGTTTTCAACATATATTCAATTTTGACTCTATTGTGAATACATAATAAGCCTAGGTCAAATCAATTTATCGTAATAATCAGCAACATCACCAGAATCATCACCATAATCATCAGTAACATCATCAGCAACATCATCATTCACCATTACCTTTCATCCTTCCCTCTTCTGCCTCTCACAATAGCTAAAAGCCTAATTTCAATGAATAAAGCATCAAATTATTATCAAATCAAATTGACACCATTCTCAACTATCAATTTAATTATCAAAAACTGTAAACTTGACACTTCATTTTTTCAAATAAAAAACTAATTATCTAACCGAATCGATCAAATTTATTAGTAAATACAAGTGTCGCACATAAAAATGTAGAGATATTATCATTACTTACTTGGGTTGAGTTAGAAGCTTTGGCTTTAAGCTTTTATTCAATTTCCATCCGTGTTTCGTTGTAGATCGCTTCTTTAACGAGTCGGTATTAGTAGTAATTTAACACTGATTTGATTTAATCACAAAATATAATAATACAAAAGATAGACATCAATTTTTGTAAATAGCGCTGTAATTGAGTCAGAATTGAGCAGAATTGCTTTTCTTGGTTACCCTGGTTACTCAAGCAGATGATTGCCGGTCGATGTGTTGTTTATTTTGCTAATTTATAAATAATTCATTTTAGTGTTCTTTGTTTATTAATCAATTGTAATTTTTTGTTTAAAACTTCAATCATGAATGGACCTGTTACTTCTGCCAATAAACTCAAATGGGATCCTAGTATTACTAACCCATTGTTTATTGAAATGGTTGATCTATTGAGATGTCATCAGTGTAAAAAACTCAACTATAGTGTTCATAATTTATCCAAATGTGCCCATGTTCTGTGTGGTGATTGTAAAAATGGTATCGCAGCTAGAAAATGTCCTTTATGTAAAATACCAACTGTGGAAATCAAGCGGGATTCGGATTATGAAAGTTTGGTTAAAGATATCAGATTGTTAAATACACAATATTTGAAAATAAGTTTTGCGGCTGATAAAAATCCCAATAAAGCTCCGAATAATGATAAAAAGATTATGAGTTCTCCTCGTCCCGTGATGAAAGCTGTTATTTCTCCTGTCAAAAAAGTCGATAATGCAGCCAAAGGAGTTGAATCGAGTCAAGATTTATCCCAATTGACGGAAGCATCAGTTTTCACACAAGATCTAAGCATCGACGAGGACAAGTTGGATGATGCATCTGATACTGAAGCTATTGGTTCGGTTAATAAGCGGAAAGGACGTGAAAAGGTGCAAGAAAAAGTTATCCCCATGAAGAAACAAAGACTTGCTTCTGACTCAACTGAAAAGCAGAGTAACGATGACAAAAACAAAAGAAAGGACAAGGATCCAGTTAAAGAACGAGAAGCAGAGAAGGAAAAAGAGAGACTGAAAGAGAAGGAAAAGGAGAAAGAGAAGGAAAGAGAAAAAGAACGAGAAAAAGAAAAAGAAAAGGAGAAGGAGAGACTAAAAGAGAAAGAGAAAGAGAAACTCAGAGAAAAAGAAAAGGAAAAAGAAAAGCTAAAAGAAAAGGAATTGCAGAAAAAACTCGAAAAAGAAAAGAAAGAAGCCGAAAAACTTGAAAAGGAAAAGGCCAAAGAGCTGGAAAAGGAACGCAAAGAGAAAGAGAAAGAACTGGCAAAGGAGCGTGCTAAGGAACGCGCCAAAGAAAAGGCTAAAGAAAGAGCATTGGAAAAAGCCAAAGAAAAAGCTAGACTCAAGGAACTTGAAGAAAAGGAAAAGGCTGAAGAGGAGAAAAATAAAAACAAAAATGAAGATGATGCCGATGCCGATGCTGAAGATAATGATAAAGCTAAATCTAAAAGTAGAAAGAAGGTATTGGCTAAGGATAAAGTAAAAGAAACAGAGTCAGATGCACAGGCTGACAACTCAAAGTCAAGTAAAGTAGAATCTTCTACGAAGAAAAGAGGTAAAACCGTTGAAGAAGAAGTGTCTGAGTCCAAAGATAACAAAGTTTCTATTCGAGGCCGTGCTAAGAAAAAAGTTGTCGAAGAAAAGGAGAAGGAAGACAAGAATAAAGAATCAGAAAGTGATGATAAACGCTCTACTCGATCTTCACCGTCAAAGAATTTATCGTCCAAAAATAAAGATGAAAGCCCTCGACGAACAGGTCGAACTCCGAAAAATAGTGGTAAACCTGAGGATGATAAAAAATCTTCAGAAGATCGAATTGATACAACTAATGATGATATTGAAGAGAATAGAAATAAAAAACAAGATCTGAGAAAATCTGTAACCTTTTCTCCAGCTAAAGAATTTGAATCCACAGTTTCTCCAAGAAAAAGTCCAAGAAGCAACAAAGGTAACATGATGTATTCACGTCGACCTATCACTTACGATGAACTACCACTCATGAATAGCAAGGCTCGTTCTGAAACCAAATCAAAAGAAGCTGTCTCTGAAACAGAAACGCCCAAGTCTACAAGTAACAGCAAAGCTGCTTCATCCAAAGGGCGTGCTAAACAAAAAGCAAAGGAACCTGAAGCTTCGGTTGATGATGAAGATGTTTTTGTTAAACCAAAAGCCACAAGCAAAAGAGCAGCTCGATTAGATTCGACTGATACCAGCCCTGTAAAGAGACAACGTAAAGCTAAGGAAACTTCTGATGAAAGTGATTCACCGTCACCAGCACGATCCACGTCAAGCAGATCTAATGCATCAAAAAATTCAAAATCCAATAGCAGAATTTTAATCGCCTCAACCTTATTGACAGCCGACCAGAAGAAAACTTTAGAAAAATTACAAAAATCGCTTGGAGTTCGCATAACAGCAGATTTCCCCTCCAATGTGACTCATTTGGTGACTAAATCTGATTCAAATAAACGAGCTGTCCGATCATTAAAGTACATGAAAGCATTGCTCAGTCACAAGTGGATTGTGAGTTTTGATTGGATCACTGAAAGTTTAAAAGCTGGTGAATTGCTACCAGAAGAACCGTATGAATTGCGGGGAACCACCAAACAACCAGAAAATACATTGGGTGCACCTAAAATTTCAAGAACCTCTAAAAAGAAGTTGCTCATCGGAATCAATTTCTATTTTGATGGAAAATTCAAAGCTGCCGATTTACCTAATCTTGAAGAGCTTAAGGATATTGTTTCAACTGGAGGTGGAACTATTTTTGATAACAATTTACGGTTAAATTCAGCTTTACGAAAAAATGAAAGAGTAATCATTGTTAAAGATAAAGTTAAAGATGATGATAAATCGACTGGAAGTGCTAAGCACATTGAGACTGCCGATCTTCTCGCAGTTGTAACTGCTTACAAGACAGATGATTTTTTCAATTAACTATCTATATTATTTTACCATTTTTTTCGTCAAGCTACTTAATTTTATTTTTATTTCATCTGTTCCCCATAAACTATACTTTATCATGCTATTATTATAATCATATTTTCATTATTATTTTGTTTTGAAACCCTTTATCCCTTTAACTTTATTATATTTCAAACGATAATATACTTTTTCTTGTTAAACCATTGACAATATTCGCGTTTCCGTTGATAAGTAATAATCGATTAATCATTTAGGACGCTAGTTTAATGTCTTTTCAGCTGACAATGAAAAAAGTTTGAAAATACAAAAAGAAATGACAGATCAAAATTAATAATATTTTGGCTATTTGTGTGCTGCCAGTGAGGATGATGCATGAAAAAATGCTTAGATTCTAATAATTTTTATCAATTTGTGTGAAGCAGACCCGTGTAACGAAATAGTATATCAATGTCCGTTGGTTTAGTGATAAATGCACCGATGAATGCTTCCAATAATTAATCAGATCTCGTGTAATACATAATTTGAATACTTTGACTCTTTGGTCTAACAGGATTTTAGCAACTTGTGTTTTTGGCTATTTACAAAGGCAATGTAATCTCTAATTAGATGCTTAAACTTGAGTAAAGTGAGGTTGATAAGCACTTGGACGATCTACCGATAACTCTTCTATCGGCATCATTGGACGGGCTTCAATGGAACCACCATTTCTTGGTCGCATACTGTAGACCAGATTCACCATTTTCCTTTTTCTTTGATATTCTCTCCAAGATTCTTTAATTAATAAACCACTAGCAATAAACAAGAATACCATTGTTGTTACCGCTAGAAAATATCCCCAATCTAAATGATTAAAATTTGGATATTGCAGCCACGATCTTTCAAATGCGTACGAAGCAAATACTGAAACTCCAACTAAAATGCACACAGCTAGAAAAAAAGTGAAAACATTAAATAAGTTGCTGTAAATTAATCAACACTGATTTTGAGAGACCAACCTGACACTGCTGTAAGTCCGGCAGCAACTGCTGTCACCACAATATGATAACGTACTAAATAGTACATTAGACTGGCACTGATTAACATCAAAGCAAGAGTAGTAAAAATCAAAGCTATAGTTAACATAGCTTGGACCACAATAAACCAACCTGGAGTAAAAAAGAAAGTCAAAATTTGTTACTGGTTCTTTCTTGAATTAAAAAAAGCCTTACCTGGTTGAAGCCATTCCCGAATATTTTGATATTTAGCACTATAAATCCAATTGCAACCGTCAAACTTTTCGTCATATTGATATGGAGGATGGCGATAATTATTAAAACAAACATCCCAAAGTCCAAGGCGGATGAAAGATGTGTAGGTTTTAGTGTATGATGATAGCCAATAAGGGGCAGAAAACGAAACAATCAAAGAAATCCATGAAATTAGACAGAGTGCACTGGTTACTTCATATTTTCGTGATATGTAAAATTTTGAACGAGAACTTTGTTTTTCTGTGCTAGCTCCACTCAGGGTTGAAGCCATTGTCAAATTTTCATCAACAGGTTGTTTACAACCTTAATTGTCAAATGCTAAAATAAATTTTCAAGTCAAATGTGGAATGATATGTAAATGAAGTTGAAAGTGTCCTATTGATCATAAGTAAACGTCTCTGTATGGACCAACAGGTAAACCATTGGTAGAAATAAACAGCCAAGAGAAGTCAGGTAACCACAAAAATACATCCAGGTAAGACACGTTAGGTAATCTTGATACAATGTACCAAGGCACTGTCAATAAATGGTTTATAAAGTAGATCACATTAAAAAATAGTCAATTTGAGTTAATAAGTCAGTCAGGTGAATGACACACCCAGCGAGATTTTGTGTTTATCAAGAGAAAAAGATGGAATTATTTGTTACCTGAAATTTTGAAGAAACCAGGTAAGTAAAAGGGACCGTTGAATAACAACGCCACTTAAAAACGTAAATTTTTTCAAATAAGTAACTGTTCCTGTATTTCTTGCATATAATGATATAACCAGAGGATCAAATAACTCTTAACAATTTTAATTTGTATCTCAAAACAGATAAAGGCTGAAGTTAATCGTTAAACGTTGATTTTGTTACAGGTAGAAATGAAGTTGAATTGAAAACAATAAAAGCTAATTATAATTTTACCGCCAAATAACTTGCATTGCTTCATAAAGCACTAAAATTTTGAAACCAGATACATTGAATTTAAGTCTCATACTGATTAGATTTACCTGGTAGACATTTATTTTCATCAAGAATTTTCAATAGATAAAGAATGATGTAAAATTAAAAAACAAACATTGTAATAATTTGTTGACTTTGTTTATTGTGACTTTTGATTCTTGAAGTTATTTGTTTTTAAGGGATGAAGGGTTGACCAAGAAATATGGTTTATTTCAAGAGAGTTTACAATAGACTAGAAAATTTGATTGTTTCATTTTAAAAAAAAATAACAGTGAACAATTAAGCGTCATGCTTTCAACTAAACATTATGAGTATAATAAAATTGCAATACAATCAATGATATTTTGAGTTTTATGATTCATGATGAATATAATTCAATGATAAATAATAAATCTTCTTATTTCTTTGCTTGACATTTTTTCCTTGGACTGTAGACATTTGGGTTCATTAAAAATTAATGTATTCCATTAATCAAATGTAGATATTCGATTGGTTAATTAGATGCTTTTGTAGGTGAAATGGTTTACATTATGATGGATAATAACTTGTCATTTTAATACTTTCATGTGACTTTATTGATTTGATGATAATGATTTGATAAGGTTGACGAAGAAACTTTGAGTAGGTAACAATTTGCTTTTTGCTGTCTTATTCTGTGGTTGTGTGTCTCATAAGGCGAGCAAAAACAATGAAATGAGCAATATGGCAGATCAGTTGATAAAATGAAAAGCGATAAACGAAATACTATAATATATGTTGATTGAGATTAACTGGATGATGAGTCGGAGTGAAAGAAAACGTTGACAAAATTGTTTTTCTTGGTAATACTTTTTCCCCACACAAGGATGGTTCCATTTTCACCAGCAATATGAAAATGTTGATTATCATGTGTGTAAGTCATGCATTTAATTGGCATGTTGAATTTAGGAGCAACCAGTTGACGGACTAGCGCCAAATCCCATGAATTGTACATTTTGATTGTTCCATCAGCAAAACCAACAGCCAATACATTAACGGAAACACCTTCAGGGGCAGATGAATAGCACATGGAGGTGATTTTTTCAGTGGTTTTTATTTCACCAACAACTGATCCATTAATTGTGTTTACTTTTAATAGGCTCACTCCTTGTTGGTGGCTTAAACTGGCAATATCTCCAAGAGTTTGGCTTATAGCAATCGAAAGCACTTCGTTTGAATGACTGGCAATGGTACGAATATAAAATAGCTTATTAAGATCCCAAATAATACAAGCTCCATCAACTCCACCAGAAACGATCACATTAAACTCTTGATTGATCACAATACAATTAACTGGTCCACGGTGCCCATGTAACCAACTTTTACAACCGGTCAACTCAACATTATTCTAGAAGAGGAAAATTTTTAATTTTTAATTACTTTTTCACGATATTTTTAAACAGATAAAAGTAAATAAATAAATGAATTACCTTTATTGGACTAGTGAAATTATAAACTGTAATTAAACCTGATTGATGTCCGATCATGAGCATATTTTTTCCAGGTGTTGTGGCACATACAGTAACCTAATAAATAAAAATTAAAATAAAAATTAGTAAATAATGACTAAGTTTGAAAGATTTAGTGAAAATTACCTTGTCATAATTTAGATTGCCGGAGATGAGAGGAGTAGATGGACCATTTCGTGAATATTTAATTCTAATAACATTATCTGGATAGTTCCAAGAGACAAGAGCCAGGGAAGTAATGTATGTAGCTCCTGATGGATTATTTGAGCTGGAACTTGGTTTAGGTCTATTATATGTTAAAAGAAGACAAGTATAGGCTTCCAAGGAAAACACAATATTTGTAATTAAAGGGCAAAAGGAAGCAATTTTGCGAGTACTTTTTTCTCTGTGAACAATCAATGGTTCAACTTGAGCAGGCGAACCGATATAATTTCCCCATTTAATACCAGTTACTTCTTCCATCACTGAAACAATGGAAGGTGACTTTGAATCCCTCAATCTACGTTCAGTATTGATTGAAGGATGAGGAGTATTGAATAATTGTTTAGGCATTTGACCAAAAGTTCTAATCATTGTATGTAAAGCTTTACTTTTAACTGGGTCTTCAATTTTGGACACATCGACCCCATAATAAGTGGCTGGATGGAAACAGTTGATGGCTTCAACGGCAGCTCGACCAGTTTGTTTGTAACCAAAAACTAAATCAATCCAGTCGTGCAAATTTTGAGTAATATAATCAGATTCAAGGGCTTGTCTATGGATGAGGATAAAAAGCCTGGCATCACCTCTGCACCAAGTTGGCAATTTAACGTCATCAACAACTTCACCATTTTGCCGAATGCCAAAGTTGAACTTTTCTTGATTCAAGAGAAATTCGGGAAGAGTAAAAAATTCTGGAATCAATTCTTTAAAATCAGTTTTTGATTCACCACTTGCTAATCTCCAAGCAGTTTCCATTGAATGGAAGGTTCGATCAGGAATGTCAAATGAATTGTCTTGATAGGTGAGAAACATTTGAGTGAAGGGAGGAAGACGGACAAGAAAGTGTAATACGGTTCCAGAATTACTGTAATGGGAACCAAAGTGATAAGGTCCGGTTGTTGGGAAAAGGGAATCTTCAAAATATGATGACTTCTCATATTCCTCTTTTAAATAATTGTATTGGTTAATATAATATTCTTCGTTACTTTTATGTTGTACAGCCATGGGCCTAGAAAGATTACGGAATGATGCTGGTGATTTAAGGTTAAGAACAGTACTATCATAATCAGCTAAAATAAACGGGAAAACGGGATATTGCATGAGATCATTGAAAGAACGGCCTGAAATTTTGTTTAGATATGTTAAATATTCAAAATTTGTCATGAGGCCTTCACGCCACAGTTGAGTAATTGAGGAAAGGCTTTTCAATTCAGTCAAGTTGGCCAATGTTTTCATATAAAGATACTTTAGAAACTCATCACAGTCACATTTGTTTTCAAATGAAATCAAATAAGATGATCCATTGGTAAGAAACATTTCAAAAGCATTATTTTGTAGCTGATAACGACATGGATGGATCTCTTTTATATCATCAAACAACCAAACTTCGGTAAATACAGTTGACTCAGAGTAGGGTGTCTTTTGTTCGCCAACAAAATGAATGCAACTTGAACCAATTAAAATTTCACCAGGATATTCAACACCCGGAGCAATTATTGTACAACTTGTAGTATAAAGGATTCTCTCGTTTGTGTAAAGACGATCAATTAAGGCAGTAAAATCAGATTCATGGAGATTTCTTTGAAACAAATAAGCTAAATTTTTATCCAAGTATTTAGTTCGATGACGAGAAACTGGTTCAGCGAAAAATTTACTTGGAATATCAAGATGACAACGACGTAATCGACGACGAACTCTCATCGGACCCTCGGTAGGATCAAGTTCCCAGGAATGTAAATAGGAATCTTCATTGTACCAAACAGCCTTTTCGTGGGTAAACATTTCAATAAGTGACTTCCAATCTTTATGAATTGAATATCTTTCAGAGGATAGATGCTTTAAATGGTTGATGAAAACTTTCCTCTCCTGATTTTGGGCTTCAACAGCATCTCTAGTTATGCACATGGCGTTTTCAACCACTTTATGAGATAAAGATTGTAATCGTTCAAAAGAAGCATCTTCTTGTTGGTTATTGGCTGATTGAAATTTTTCTTTGTTCCATTCAACAAACCATTCAGAAATTAATCGCTTTGAAATCTCGTTAGTTACCATTCTTTTGTTTGGATTATTTCCAATTGGATTTATTTTTAGTAGATCTCGCACTAACTCGGTACCATCAGAATCAGCACAAGCTTGGAGAAGATCTTTGAGAAATGATTCGAATAAATTTGCAAAACGATTGTTGGATCTCAGAAGGAGGGTTAAATTTTCAGCATTTGATTTTAAAAAGGAAACATAATATAATCTTTCTGGTGTTGGTTGAAGTGGAGACATCAAGAAATGAATCAATCGACACAATTCATTTTTGATAGCCTCTTTGGAGGTTCCAATGAAATTATTTAGAATAGATTTACGACGTTTGCTTTCAGACCTTTTCTTATTAAGATCAAGAACTTGAAAAATTCGATGTAATAAAGAACGAGCGAAAAATTTTTCCTTTTCACTGATGGAAAGATCATCTTCTAGGAAGGAAAAGAAGTAAAATGATAATTTTAGATTACAATAAAAGAAATGGTTATACTTAAAATTATATTGATTAACGTACCTCTTAAAATAAGGAAATCAACAGATTTGAAGATCAATTTTTTAAATCTATCAGTTAGTTCAGAGTTGGAAACATGTCCTTTAATTGCATTTGAAGCTTCAGATTCATTCATGTAATTTGGTCTCTCTCGAAACGAACTATAAGTTGACATTGACGTTGAATCCACCACTAATCCCGAATTGTGAGAAGCCATGTAAGTCTCATCTGATGGAGAGAATAGGTTGAAGAATTTCTCTGATTTGTTTATGGCTGAGTTGATAATTTGATTGTCATGAGGAAAAGAGGGAGGAGAGAGAAGAGAGAAGAGGAAGGGAAGATGTTGGGAGTTAAAGACAAGGTAAGACGCTTTCTTCTTTTGTTTTTTTCAAAATAAAGAAAATGAAATTAAAACAAAAAGAAAACATTTAACGTGATATTACCTTTCATTAATTTTGATCGATCATCCCAATTTCGTATCAAATCGGTAAGATGATTACCAACAGCATCATGGGCAGCTTCAAATAAATGCACAAGCGATTCTCTGAACCAGTTTCTGAGTCCCTGAGTAGTCTTCTTTTCTAGTTGTGAGAGTTGGTTGATTGTTTGAAGAAAGAGATTCCAATGTTGAGATCTACTTGATTCAAATAGATTTCTTCCAATAGAATAGATTACTTTTAAAACATCGTTAATTATGACATCATCTTCATAACCATCGATAGAATCATCACGACCAAGTTGATAATTATCAGCATTCACTAAAACTTTTATTAAACACTCAATGAAACCAATTTCATATAAATGTTTCATTATAGGACTGGACAATGGAAGGTTTTCAATAAATTTACGTAAAGCAATTAATGCTGTATGGCAGAGATTGACGTCGTTCACTGAATTTGGAAGAAGTGCAAACAGTAAAACAAAAGAATTCCAATGGTCATTGGACATCTTGTATATTTCGAGGGATGGAAAATTTTCTTCGAAAGAAAACCTTTCATCAGGCTGAGTATTCATGATGAAAGCAAAAGCTTGATTAATAAGGTTAAATGTAGCGGAATGTTGGTGGAGTTGATTGGCAATCAAGTGTAATCCATGATGGGTAATAAATGTGTTGATTGCTTCAAGCCCTTTACCCCGTTTGAGGCAGCAAATTAAGCAATTCAAAACAGCTTCACGTACTTTATCTGATTCACTGTGTCCTAGAATGACTAAAACTCCCGGGCGAACAATGGGTCCAATCATTTTATACAACATTGATTCGGAAGCTTCTTCGATAATTTTAGCAATCATGTTTATAAAATCAGCCATAACCATATAATAGATGGTCTCCTGATCAAATTTTGGTTGATCACTAGTACTGTTGCCATCAAAATTTGAACTTTCCCAATCACTATTCAACTTGTTCACCATTCCTGGTCTCCTATCACCAAGTGATCTTCTAATTTGACTAGACTTCAAATTAGTAGGCAATAAATAATAAAAACTAGACTTTGAATGACAAATGTAAGTGTTAGATGCTCGATGGAGTAGTAATAATGTGTCAAAAACATCGTTCAAAATGGACAGTTCTAAGGTTAATGTTGTTATCAGTGCCTTTGTCAGTTCAGGCAGAATACGGGCAACTTCATACGGTAATTCGAGATTGCTGTCATCCATTTGAACCAAAGTGTCTTTGAGCATGGTTAAAATAATATCAACAATATGACCACGTCTCATTTGGAGAATATTAAATTCTCTCCTTGAATTAACTGGAGATATCAGATCTAATAACATATTAGTAAAACAATTTATAGTCTCAGGTTTTCGGTGCCAGGCTCTCCAAGACGAGATAAGATGGGAAAACGCTATTGAGTTGATAATTATGGCTTGCTTGGTATCTAAGCTGCTCAAGCAACAATTAAGATATGGCTGATAAACTTTACATGAAACATTGCAATTAGGCGTTTCCAAGACAGAATTAATCAAACGAAATCCATTAAACTCGTATGCAAAAGATAACATAAATTCGTAGTGAGTCTTGCAGACTTGTAACAATATATTAAGAGCACGAGCTTGAGTTTCGTCATTGGAAGTAACTTCAACAATTTTGGCAAAAAAGAAAATTAAAGCACCAATCCCACCGATTTCAAGTAAATTTTTACTCAAATCATTTTTTATCTCAGCAAACAGCACCAAAGGATTCCGTGTCACTTGTAGGTTATGATCCTCACGATTAACCTCTCCTTGAAGTGGCCGAGGAGTGAATGAAATGAAAGGCATTGAAGTGTAAAGTGCGATCTTTTTTTTACAAGGTGGTGTAAGATGATTAGGAGCTTCATATCCACCAATTTTAGATTGAATCACATGCATTGCTAGCGCAAATTCATCTGAATCTGAAGAACTATAACAGTCCATATCAGCTAGAGCCCAAATTTTAGATAACATCTCATGATGACATTTCAATAGATCAACCATTTCATTAAACAATGGGTTATTAATACTCGGATCCCATTTGTGTTCATCAACACAAGTAACAGGTCCATACATGATTGAAGCTTTGAACAATAATTACAGTTGATTAATAAAAAAGAACACAAATGAATTATTTATAAATTACCAAAATAAACAACACATCGAATAACCCAAGAATTGAAACATTACCAATTCATTTTCAAAACAAGCTTTGAGAAGGAGATACTCTATCTGATACAACTACTATCGTTTCGGATCAAGTAAAACCAACCCACAAACCAAAGCGACATCTATCTCAAAGTAAATGATTAATTTTGTCGGTATCATACCGACGATATGTAATCACTGATCTAAGGTCAGACGTAATGTTAACCAGATCAGACGAGTTTAAAAGAAATATCATATTTTTACCCAAGATGCTTATTATTTCAAAGATATCCAATTATTTAACCGTATTTGCTTTAATTAGCCTTAACCTGATCAAATGCCTAACATATTGAATTGAATCAACACATTGACAGCAAAAACTAGAATATAAATCAATGAATTAAACTGAATAAAACATAGTTAACTTCAAATATAAAGCGCATTGAATTTAATTTAAAACTCTATTCACTCAATCAAGTACTTCAACATATTGTTATTTTATGGGGAAGAGGACATTAATTTAACCAGAATTTAAAAAGTAGTATCACAATAAAAGGTTAATGTTGGTGCAGTCGAGATATGATCATTGCTGTCATTTTACATTGAAAAATGCCAAAGCTGTTGCGGAGTAAATGTTTCAAGTACAAAAATGCTAAAAGCGAAATTATAATAACACAATGAAAGTAATCAAAGCGGAAAATGAAGCGAGAATCACAACGATGTTTGATTTTAATCTTGATTGTTGCTGTTCAACACTTTTGTTCAAGCTTTATTTTCAAATTTTAACATAATAGAGCAATAACTACTAACTACTCTTTGTTTTAACATATTTGCACTGAAAAATAAACAAGATTTTGAAACAATTGATTATCAGATCCTTGTAATTTGATTGTATCCCAAATGTGGTAATAAAATAGTGATTTAATGTTATCCAATCTTTACTTTTGTTCAATAATTCCTTCATTTTCTCATTGATTATATTGTCAAGCGACCAAAAATATTCCTATTGACTAAGTTAATCATTTCTTTCATCATTGGAATAGGCCATTTAAGTTGTGAAATTGCTCTTAATACATGTATTAGTATTGTTTACAGCTGTCTTCTGAATCTTTTCAAGAATGTCTCAGCAACAACTGGATCAATCGACTTTTGTTCAAAGAGCTGTATATCTAATCGAACAAATCTCGACCAATTTACAATTCTTTATGGCTTCAGTATGGAACTTTACTTCAGAACATTTACTTTTTTTGCTTTTAATGGCCGTAAAATGGACTCTCTGGGTACTTCGTGGTATTGGTTTACCTTCAGCTTATTCCATGGGAAGCACAGTTCACCTTATTAAACACCTTACCAAGACATATAACAACATCTCTATGAATAACTGTACTCAATAATTAACCAAGAAAAAGTGCATTTATTCAACATGAAGATAGACAATAATTTCTCACAATTTACAAGTCCACAGGTTAAAAGAATTGCTAGCAAGTGAAATACGCGGCTGTTACTATTAAAAGAAAACAATTATCACATTTATGTACAACTTGAAATAAATGGCCAAAAAACGGGTGAAAATTAATTTCTTTCAAATAACGACTCTGGTGGTTTGTAGGGACATGGAGGTTGAATCCATTTGGCGATTTAAAAAGTTCTCCGATGAAAATTTTTCGAGAAAATCGAGGTCTAAGTTAGAACTTCGATCGCATTTTGTGCAAAAAATGGAAAAGCTTTTGCAATGAAACTTATTTTGTCTGTACAACTTTTGATTAACAATCAGAAAATGGTCTTAATTTGATCAATAAAGTTTTGTGTTTTCTGTAGAACAAATAAGTTCGTTTTTTATTTAAATCGATCGCATTCGGCGATTGTAAAAGTTAACTATCTAAAACTAGATATTCGTCAATTAATATAATTGGTACACATTGTGGATCAAATATTTTTTTCAATCTATCAACTGTTCTCTTGATTTCGGCCATTTCCCTATAAACTTTGAGCCTCGATATTTCGAGTATGGTAGCACCTACAGTCCTCGTTCTTTCACTAATTTAATTAAACACTGACCAATAATCCTATGCAATTAAAAAAAGTTTGCATTAGTTCTTTCGAATTAAGATATTTCGGCTTTAAATGCACAAGCAACAACTTATTTAACAAACCAAACTAAAATAAACCGATATCTTGGTAAATAAAGCAATTTTCTGGTTTAGTTTGTAAATGAAATGCAAAGAATGCTGCCAACGGCTCGAACATTTGAGTTGAGAGTTGATACTTAGTGGGCTTTGTAAAGACATAGAAACTTAGTCTATTGGTGCTAATAACTAATACATGAGATGAACAGTTTTCTAGAAAATCGAGGTCGAAGTTTAAACTTCGAACGCCTTTTGTTCAACAATGGAAGATGCTTTTGCAAAGAAACTTATTTTGGTAGTGTAACTTTTGATAAAGAATTAGAAAATGGTCTTATTCTGAGAAATAACATTTTCTGTTCCTGTAAAATAGATCAAGTTCGAATTTAAGTTAAATCAACCGCTTTCGGTGGCCATAGTAGTAAGAGAGCTGAAACTCAGTAATTGTCGATAAAAGTTATTGGTTCACATCGTTCATAAATAATTTTTGTAATAAATAAACTGTTCTCTGGATTTTGACCATTTACCTAAAAACTTTGAGCCTCAATTTTTCGAGTATGTTAGCACCTACAGTCCTCATTCTTTCACTAATTTAATCTCTTCTCTTAGCTATTGATTCTTTGTAATCTAAAAACTTTCGATTAGCACATTTCGATTACGATGATTTGGTTTAAAACGCACAGGCAACAACTTATTTAACAAACCAAACTTCAATAAACACATAACTTGGTAAATAAATCACTTTTCTGGTTAAGCTTACAAATGAAATACAGAAGTTACTACCAAAAGCTCGAACATTTGAGTAGAGAGTTGAGAGTTGGTGCATTTGTAGGGACATAAAAACTGAGTCCATTGGTACTAAAAACTAATTCATCTTATGAACAGTTTTCTAGAAAATCGAGGTCAAATTTTAAACTTCGATCGCTTTTTGGAATAGAATGGAAGTAGCTTTTAAAATGAAACGTATTTTGATAGTGTAACTTTCAATGAAGAATTAGAAAATGTTGTTATTTCGAGAAATAACACTCTGAGTTTTCTGTAAAACAGATTCGTTCGATTTTTAGGTAATCGACCACATCCTGTGGCCATGCGAGTTAGAGACCTAGAACTTGATATTTGTCGATGAAAGTTATTGGTACTCATCGTGCATCAAATACTTTTTTCAATTTATTAACTGTTCTCTTTATTTCGGCCAATTACTTAAAAACTTTTAGTTCCGATATTTCGAGTATGGTTGTACCTACAGTCCTCATTCTTTCACTAATTTAATCACTTTACTAATCAATTAATTCTTTGTAATCTAAAAACTTTCGATTAGCACATTTCAATTACGATGATTTGGTTTAAAACGCACAGGAAACAACTTATTTAACAAACCAAACTTCAATAAACACATAACTTGGTAAATAAACCACTTTTCTGGTTAAGCTTACAAATGAAATACAGAAGTTACTACCAAAAGCTCGAACATTTGAGTAGACAGTTGAGAGTTGGTGCATTTGTAGGGACATAGAACCTGAGTCCATCGGTACTAAAAACTAATTCATCCTATGAACAGTTTTCTAGAAAATCGAGGTCAAAGTTTAAAATTTGATCGCTTTTTGGAATGAAATGGAAGTAGCTTTTAAAATGAAACTTATCTTGTTTGTGTAACTTTTGTTGAAGAATTAGAAAATATTGTTATTTCTTAAAATAACATTCTGAGTTTCATGTAAAACAGCTAAGTTCGATTTTTAGTTAAACTGACCACATCCTGTGGCCATGAGAGTTAGAGACCTAGAACTTGATATTTGTCGATAAAAGTTATAGGTACTCATCGTGCATCAAATACTTTTTTCAATAAATAAACTGTTCTCTTGATTTCGGTCATTTACCTAAAAACTTTGAGCCTCAATATTTCGAGTATGGTTGTACCTACAGTCCTCATTCTTTCACTAATTTAATCAAACACTGACCAAATAATCTTATGCATTTTAAAAAAGTTTCGATTAGTTTCATTTGGGATCAAGATGTTTTTGGCTTTAAATGCACAAGCAACAACTTTATTTAACAAAC